ATACTCGAGCACGTGCTAACAACAAATATATATATGAATAGATTAGGTGACCATTCACAAAAAAAGTAAAAAGACATGCATGCATTTGCCTCCGAGAAATAAACATAACTGTAACTTTTAATGATTAGTATGGATACTTACACAATGACAGTATATGGATAAATGCCCCTATAAACCACATCCATGACAGTTGTCATTGTAGCTTCAAAGATCTACATATGTTAAGCCAATCCACCCGGCTACCAAAATACCTATCCACGCGTCATCTCGCCCTCGCTCGGCCCCCTCCCCAAACCCCCCGCCTCTCCTCTCCCCCCCCACCTGTCTCTATTTCTCCTTCCTCCTCCTCCCCCTCTGTCCCTCGGGTGAATCCCGGCAGCGGGCGCATATGCTATATACAACAATCCTAACCATTGTTGCTTGATCATAAATAAGATATATATAAATAGTGTTAAAAGTTGAAATAAGGATTTAATTAGTTGTCCTATAGACCTGCATAACCCTTAATTTGAGGAACGGCAAGGAATAATAATTTTAAAAAAAAATTATGAATCTGAACTGATAAGGCTTCCTCCTATAGTCGTATATTAAAACTAAACAAAAATGATATATGGTCATTTAGAATAAAGCAAACAAACTGCATAATAAATTATCATAGGAACATAAAAATGGTAAACAATTATTAATTATTTGGTAAGATACATATGTTTGTAATGATAGAATATAAGTACAATTTTTTTACATTATACTATGATGGTATGAGAGATAAATGTGTTCCCAATAAAAGAATAATTGAATAGAATATATTTATGACCGCGGCCTGCGGTGAAACGCGGGCACTAATAGGTAGTCTGTAAAGTGATCGAGACCGTTTATGCCAACCACAAAACATATTTAGGCGCTGTTTGGGAGCCTAATTTTTGCTGCAAAGCACTATAAATTACAAGCTTGAGAAAATTTCCAAACTAACTCAGAAATTAGTGCTCGAAAACCTAGTGAGCTAAATAATTTTAAATCCGGTTTGGACCAAAACTAGAGGAAGGAAAATATCACCACCTCCATCCCAAGAAAAAAAAATGACTACTGGCTATACTCGATAGCCGCTGAGGGTCCCTTCGGCGGTGGGCACTCGTCCCACACGCCATTGACCACGACACCGTCTGGACTCTGGATCACCTCCCCCAGCTACCAGACCACTTTTAGAACTTATTTGGATCTTTTATCTACTAATAGTTAGTTGACTAATAGTTTATATTTAATATTAGCTACCTATTAGTTAGAGGGTGTTTGAATACACACATAATGAAAAATGCTAAGCCGTTATTATCTCGTTTGGTCTAACTGGTGAGATAATTATTATCAACATGTCCAACTAATAATTAACTATTTTATTAGCTGCATTTGTTTGAGATAGTTATTATCTAGAGGTCTAGCTAATATTTAGCTATTTTATTACTGCACCTACTTTGATGTAAAAAAGATAATTATTAGCAGATAGATATTATTTATAGGGACCCAAACAAAACCTTAAGCACTACTATTGTTGTCCTCAATAAATTATAAGTGAAAATGATTTGCAATCGAGAAATAATACCGGACTGGAAAAAAATAGGCTCTGTTTGGATGTCCGGTAATTAGGCAAAAACACCTGTAAATTACAGATCCTATTTTTTTCCCGGCATAGACTGAAATATATTGTTTGGATGACCCCACTTATTTTACATTCGCTTTAGCCCAAAACCGGCGTAAAAAAAATGCCATCTCCTGAGGTCTGAGAAAAAATACGAGAAGTATCGGGCGCAACTCGAGTCGAGCCCCTCGGCCGCGACCGCGAGGGGAGGGTTTCTTCTTCGACGGCTGCTCACCCTCCCGCAGCCGCCGCCCCCAACTCACCCCGCCGGTCCCTCCCCCTCCCCCAACTACTCCTTGACGGCTGCTCACCTCGCCGCCGGAGTCGACGGAGGCCTGAAGCTAGCGCTCGAGCCGGATCTGCGACCTCATCCGCTCAAGGGCGCGCCAGGCAGGAGACGTCAAGATCGACGACGAACTGGGTTCGTCTCGGACGGCGCGAGCTAGGACGATCTAGTGACGTACGGATCGGCGGTGAAGAGGCCTGGTCCACGGCTAAACACAGAGGTAAGCTTCGTGCGATGTTCCGTGTCTCACAATTTCTTAGTCAAACTTCTCTATTGCAATACCCACAGTAGCTAAGCTAGTCAATGATATGAATCAACCTGTGTTAGGTGCTTGTTAGATGAACCAAACGCATCTTGTTCATCCAAGCCGGTATTTTTGATCGAGTACATAGTAGTAGTACTTTGAGACTTGAGAGTAGGGGCCTGAACCAAATGATATGTATTTTAGTTTCAGACCTTTGATGGAGAGATTTTTTAGAATGGTAAAGATCTCTGAGATTTGTGTTCAGCTTCTAAATTCACATATGTTTCATAAGGAACTAAAGCCTACAGTAGGTAGGTTACAAAATTGATGTCAAACGAGGGCACTGTATGTTGACATTGCACTGCTACTGCACTGTTGCATCTGCATTGGGCTCTGAAAGTTTTTATTGTGGCTAGATGGACAGGAGATGGAACAATGGAAGTAACACTTGATTAATTACAGAGATGCATGCTCTGTATGAGCAAGATTCTTCCATTCTATGCGAACTTAACAATGATAACTCCATGTTGCAGGTTAGCGGATGCAAGCATGTCAAGACGTTGCAAAACTGGAGCTTTTGTTTTGGCAGAGGAGCACAAATGAATTGTTTACAGATTTTAACTATGGTCATCTTATAATTCATCATCGGAGAAGTATTATTTATGCACTACCGTTCTCTAATGTTAATTTGCTAGGACCATATAATAATTCAGACCTCCTTTTTTATTTGAGTACCATGTTTACCGTTCTATTCATATATTGCAAGTTTAGTTTCTTGGATGCTGATCAACACTGATAATCTTGTTATGAAGTTGCTTATGGCATATTAACGTGCTTTTTGTTCTTGTCTTCTACTGGGTTGATGTATTGCTCGTCTCTTGTTAAGTTGTGTTTAATTGTTGGCAAGATCTGAACTTGTTGGTTCAGACTTGAAGCAGATGCAACCTAGTGAAATGCTATTTTGTCTGAAAGCAACATGTGCATGATGACTATAATCCCATTTCTGAGCATGGCGTTTTGAACCAAGCAGAGTATGTGCACGTGTAAGGTTTTGGGGTAGTGCTCCAATGATGGTACACAAGCTCAGAACTTAAAACACAGGGAGTAATGTGGTTGTTCTGACTGAAATGAATCTGAGTTGGATTTTGATCTCTGAACGAGGATAGCAGTTTAACATTCTAGAGTAAAATTGGAACTGAAAATGCAGTTTCTTTATGCAAGTTTACTCCATTGTGTTGGACTTTGCGAGCAATATTGCTCCATCGTTGTTTAGTAGAGTACTGTAATTGCCAAGACATACATGATACATGCATATGCATAGAAATCTGCTTGAGTATTGTTCTGCCACTTTATTTCTGGCTGACATGAAGCTAACGTCGCCATTGGGATCATCAACACTCAACTCATGCTCATCTTCCAAGTGCAAATGCCACTGATAGCACTCAACTCATGCTCAACAGAGAATGTAGATTTACAGCAGGCTGCATTGTCGCTGCAATGACTGAATGATATGTGCTTGATCTGCTTCAGAATTCAGAACTTAGGCATGGATTGCTTTGCATCCATTTTCATATTCACATCATTCTATTCTCCGTCCATTTATTCTTATTATTTGCATGTACTGCAATATCTCTGAAATTTCACATTTCCTTTCAGTTTTTAGCAATGCTTCACACTTAAATTTGCAACTCTGTGTTGCAGGTTAGTGGCTGCAAACATTTGAAGATCTTGGAAGATTATGGCCTTGTGATCTTTGGAGAAGTTCTATTTAAGTACTATTCTCTGATCAACATCTATCTATGTTGTTCTTATTCTGTAACAGTGGATTAATGCATTGCTCATCCTTTGCAAAGTTTTGTTTATTGTTGACTTTTGGTGGTTCAGACTTGCAGCAATTATGAACTGATCTGAGGTGCCTTCTTATCTGAAGCAACCATGTACTTCCTTGGATTTTATGGTCACTAATAATCTTGGTTCTGAACTGTGCAATGACATGCCTGTTTACTGAAGATATCTGAAGTGTGTTCTTATGCTCCTATATCTTCTGCAGAGTTGTTTTTATTGTTGTTTATATACTTATATCCAAATTTGGTGGTTCAGAATTGCATCAGTTACGAACTGATTTGAGGTGTCTTTTGGTCTGAAGCAATCTTGTGCCTGTAATTCCTTGGATGGGTGATGACACGTAGCTATCTCATTTTTTAACTTGAGCAATAACATACCAACTGTGATGGCTTTGATCCATCCGTGAATATTAGTATAACATTTTTTAGAATTGTGATGGGTGACAGCAGTGACATGTCTACCATTGCGTAGAGAAAAAGCACATGGGAGCATGCGCAGCAGAGTAAGCATTGCCTAGCAGATGCAGGCGGAAACCTTTTATCCAACCAAGGGTAAAATAAAGCAGTTGTATTCTTGTGCACTATCAATTACAAGCGGAAATGGTTTACACCTGAGAAATAATACCGTATCGCCAAACAGCGCCTTTTTAGCCTTAAAAATACATTCCATGGTTTTGCCAAACCAACCAATACTCGACTAGATAAACATGCTTTCGCCGGCTGTTCTGCTATGTGTACAGTAGGCTTGCTTGGCTTTGCAGCCGCAGAAAAGCTGTACCGAGCATGCTGAATAAAAAAATCTCAACAAAACTGCTCGGGGTTTCGTTTTGACAAATTTCAACCACTTGGCGGGAGGCAAGAGACCAAGAGTCGATGGGTATAAAGCATATAAAAGCGGGTAAAGTGGAACGCATCGGCCCTGACGTCTCCGTCGGCGCCCCGATTCGCCTCCCTCTCCTCTCCTCTCCTCCTTCCCTCACCGCCGCCCGCCCGCCCATGGATTCCCCGAGGGGCCCCGCGAGCTTCGCGACGCAGGCCAACGCCCTCCTCCGAAAGAACCTCTGCGTCCAGGTTCAGGCACCGCTGCTCTTTTCCCTTCTACCTTTCCCCGCTCCCCTTCCCGTTAATCTATAGACTGTAGCTCAGCTCGTCGCGCCTGCGAGGTGTTCGTGGGTTTGCCTTTCGCGGTTCTTGAGGGGCGAGAAGCATCATCAGCAAAGTGTTGCTTGAGTCTCACGTGTCTCGATTTTTCTGAGGATCTTGTGCGACGATTTGCGGAATTTATCTCTAGTTTGGTTCCAATCTGTGTGCACGGGGTTTTTGGTGAGCCAAGGCGGGTAGGTAGCGTTGGCGTGTTGGGCTTTCTTCTCCCGTGAATGAAAGGGTACATCAGCATGACAGCATGATAAATGCCCAGTGGGCAAGAAAAAATGCTACAAGTTATATTCAGTTAAATTTTCGTTTTCCTTCATTCATTGGAAGTTATCCAGTGAATTGCATGCTCTGCATTTGATATAAGTTTCACAACACCTGCGTATAATATGTTTGTTTACATGAAACAATGCCAAAGCACGTTACTACTTCCCCGAAAAAACACATGACGTCTCCATGAGCACCGCCTGATTTTTATATTGGCCACACTGCAGAAACGGAACCTCAAGACAAACATCGGCATCACCATCTTCCCTATCCTCGTATGCGTGCTTCTCATCGTGCTCCAGAACGTCATTAACAGCGAGCTCGACAAACCCAAGTACAAATGCGGTTGCGTCTGCCTCGAGACCAGTGGAGATGGAAGGTGTGCAAGGAAAGAGTGTGGCATCCAGTACTCTACACTGGATCAGGTCGGGAGCTGTCCGATCCCCAGCCCGCCACGGTGGCCAGCCCTGATTCAGATCCCCCGTGCTGATTTCCGGGCTGTAAGGACATTCTCCCAACCGTTCAATGATTTGCCTGATCCATTTTGCCGTGACTCCAGGTCTTGCCCTGCAACTGTCCTTGTCACTGGGAAGGACAAAGCGGTTGCAGGAGGTATGTGCTTGTCATAGTACAATTAAAACACAATTTGAAATGCTTACACTTTGGTGACTATGTTTGTGATCCTTGAGTAAATGTTGTCCAATTGTCAGCTATATCGAGAGGGCTGTTTCCTGTCCTTTCTCCGTCGTTGAATGCAACAGATTTACTGGATCTCTTCACCAAGATAGTTGCTGTGAGCTCCCTCAATCACCAACCAAGTAACCCGCCTGTAAATTTTGCTGCTTCATGTTTTGGTTTATATGGTTATTGTTGGCTTCACTTTGTCCTAGGGCTCAGATACACAGCCATGGTACACACAGTTGCTAGAGCCTGCATTTTTCTCTGGCCGTACTTTGTATGTGATCCAGCCTGAGTGCTTACCTGTCATGTCACAGACCATTACATATAATACTGGGGACATACCCTTTCAGCTCAGTAAGTAACTATCCTTCCTTAAAATGCTGAGTTGATGGTTTTGGGTTGGAAAACGTAAAATTAGTTTGCGGTCATGTAGCTTCAGTCTAGGGACCGGTGAAGTTTCCATATTTGACCTTGAACTGGTACTGCTATAGTATATGATGGATCTTACTCTGAAACAATCATAAATAGGTTAAAATCCGTGGCCCTTTTATTTGGATGATGACAGAAGCACACTAATAATTACATGTTAGATACTTTTACAAAATCTCATCGTTATAAATATGCGCGTTCCACTTTCATGTTGCCACATTGATTTCTTTGGTTTATAGTTTAGTATGATTAAAAACAAACAAACAAAAAGTTAGTTGCCTGTTCAAAAATTGACACGCATTATATGATTATAGTTGAGAAATTGATGGCAACAGTTGAGAAATTGTTGTCTATCATTCTGAAAATTTATGCTGCAGCTTTGACGCCCTCTTGAAATGAACCAGATATACAGTGTGTTGAAGGTGTCCCGGTATGGCGTGAAAGTGCATCAATTATCAACCATGAATTTTTAAAGGGTTATAGACAACGAGGAGGAGAAATAAACGAATTTATTGCAGGTTATATATCTTTATGTTACATTTTTTTCTCTTTGAAGTTTGAAGGACTTCATATGTCAATGATAATTTGCAAAACATTTTCTGTCTTATTGATTACCTATCAGTTTTTTACAAAATGACACAAAGAAATCATTCATACACAAATGGTATTGGCATACTTTATGACCGCCTTCATTTCTGCAGGTTATGACTTCTTGGGCACAACACAGTATGGCCTCGGTGTAAATGTTTGGTACAACTCTACTTACAACGATAACAATGCATATTCATTTATCACAACATTGCGGGTTCCACGCTTGGTGAATGCAGTATGTTGTAATCTTATCTCTGACTAATTCAGTATCTTTTGAAACGTGGGTCCTGTTCTGAACTTCTGACAGCTTATGTTTTGTTTCTTACAGGTATCCAATGCTTATCTCAAATTTATCAAAGGAACTGGGGTAGAAATGCTACTTGAGTATGTAAAAGATATGCCCAAAGTTGGGACAAGTTTTCAGTTGGATCTGTCTTCTCTTCTCAGTGTGTTATTCTTCACATGGATCATCGAACTTCTTTTCCCAGTGAGTATGATGAGATGTATTGATGTAGCATTCTGTAAGTAGGGTGAGAAACAACGCATTAACATGCTAACAGTTAGTATCAGTAGAGCTTGCAATCTGACTATTTTTTTCTTAGGTTATGTTGACATATCTGGTGTATGAGAAGCAGCAGAAGCTAAGGATTATGATGAAAATGCATGGTCTGAAGGATGGGCCTTACTGGCTTATATCTTATTCTTATTTCCTTGCTCTATCAATTGTCTATATGTTATTCTTTATGATTTTTGGCTCCTTGATAGGTAATTGTATTACAATGTTACTCACGAATATGCTGTTGTGGCAAATACTTCATTGTCTTAACTAGCCTCCTTCTGTTCAGGTCTCAATTTTTTCAGAGTAAATGAATATAGCATACAAGTTGTTTTTTTCTTCGTCTGTATAAATTTGCAGATTGCACTTGCATTTTTTGTGGCATCTTTCTTTTTGTCTGTCAAGATGGCCACAGGTTAGTAACTCAAACCTGTTACCTCCAAGTCAAAACTTTACCTTTTGAAAGTGACCTTGACGATTTTGATTTGGCTCCTGCTGCAGTGATTGGCTACATGTATGTATTTGGCTCTGGCTTACTTGGTGCATTTCTTTTCCGTTTCTTTGTTGAGGACCAAACGTTTCCCTGTAAGTCGCTAGCTTAATTTTGATTTATGTCTCATCAGTTATATAACGTTAGTTATAACTTACAAGTTTTGTCTTCTCCACTCAGATGGTTGGACATTAGTCATGGAGGTTGTCCCAGCATTTTCCCTCTACCGGGGCCTATATGAACTTGGTCAATATGCATTCTCGGGAAGCAGTATGGGAGCCACTGGTATGACCTGGAGAAGTCTGAAAGATCCCCTCAATGGAATGCACGATGTCATGATCATAATGAGTGTAGAATGGACAGTGCTGCTCATATTAGCATTCTATTAAGATCAAGCCTCTTTGCTAGGCGGTGGTGTCAGAAAAAACCCTTTTTTCTGCTTCAGATGTTTACAGAAGAAACATGAACCATCATTGCATGAACCTAGCAATGTCCAACAGGATTCCAAAGTCATTCTCGATATGGAGAAATCTGATGTTGCTCTAGAAGTAGGTTATCCCTCACACTTTGATATTTCTTATACTTCTCTACAGTACATATAAATGACACTTCATTCATTGACGAATTCTATTTCAGAGAAAGCTAGTTGAGCAACTTTTGATAGATCCCAATGCAAAGCAAGCTATCATCTGTGATAACCTCAGGAAGGTTTATCATGGAAGGGATGGAAACCCTGACAAGCTGGCTGTTCGAGGGCTATCTCTTGTCCTTCAAAAGGGACAGTGCTTCGGAATGCTTGGCCCAAATGGAGCTGGGAAAACATCTTTCATTAATATGGTATGGTACAATTGAAAAATGGATGTTGTTCCGTTCTTTTGACGAAAGGTGCATAATGTCTTGTATCTTATAATGCGACTTGATTTTTTTCCCTTTAGATGATTGGACTCATTAAACCTACATCTGGTACTGCTTATGTCCACGGAATGGATATAAATATGGATATGGGTAACATATATACAAATATGGGAGTGTGCCCACAACACAAGTATTTACTCTTATCTAGTATTTATCTGGCCAAAAGTTTTCCTTCATGGATCATATTATTTAATCATGGTAATTTGTGTTGTCTTAAATGCAGCTTGCTTTGGGAAACACTGACTGGAAAAGAACATCTTTTCTTTTATGGCAGGTTGAAGAATCTTAAAGGTGCTGCATTAATGAAGGTACCTCCAATCCAGATACCACTATTTGAACATTATATTTACATTTTGGTTTTCAATAATTCTAAAAGCTGTGTCATTTACTCTTCGGTTTTCTCTTTGGAAATTGTTCAGCTATCTCAGAGCATGTTACAATCATATTTTCTCTAAACTTTTCCACTGCCAGGCTGTTGACCGCTCTCTGAAGAGTGTAAATCTATCTCATGGTAATGTTGGCAATAAGCAAGTGAAGAAATACAGCGGAGGCATGAAAAGAAGGCTCAGCGTGGCAATCTCATTGATTGGGGACCCTAAAGTAGTTTCCTTTTTCTTGTTTCTATAATTTTGGTCATTCCATGTAATGCTGTCCAACCCCAGATTGGTTATGCAACTTAACAAATATTCATCAGGTTGTCTTCATGGATGAGCCAAGCACAGGACTGGACCCAGCATCAAGAAATAACCTATGGAATGTTGTGAAGGAGGCCAAGAAAAACCGTGCAATTATTCTGACTAGTAATGATCCTTTCCTATCCACTCGTGTATCTGAATTCTAGAATCGTACTCCATTTGTTTATTGCATCTGAAAGTAAGAAGAGTGATTAGTGAATAAGCAAGTAATCAAATGTGATGCTGCCAGCACACTCAATGGAAGAGGCAGAGGTATTGTGTGACAGGCTTGGCATCTTTGTTGATGGTGATTTCCAATGCCTTGGAAACCCTAAAGAGGTACATCACCTTCTTGAATCGCAAAAGTCATTCTATGTTTCAGTTCTTAAAGTCCTTGTTACTTCAATGGAATGCAGCTAAAGGCTAGATATGGGGGGACATACATATTCACAGTGACAACACCCCCAGACCAAGAGATGGAGGTTGAACAGCTAGTGCATCAGTTCTCGCCCAGTGCAAACAAGATCTACCATCTATCTGGAACTCAGAAGTTCGAGCTGCCGAAGCAAGAGGTGAAAATAGCCCATGTTTTTGACGTGGTCGAGAAAGCGAAGTGCCGGCTCACAATACATGCCTGGGGATTGGTTGACACTACCTTAGAGGATGTCTTCATCAAGGTCGCCAGAGGAGCGCAAGTGTTCAACGAGTTCGCATAGACAATACCTTTAGGACTAGCTTCATAGCCAGCAAGGGACCCCAGTTTTTGGATGGGACTGCATAGAGAATCTTGTGGTTGCCATTCTTTGAAAATAAGCTCCATATGCTTGGTTTACGTGGCTGTACAGAAATACATTCTTGATACTGCAATTGCAGAATAGAATAATTGTCCAGTTGTGTTCATATTTTATTTTCATGTATGTGTGAAAAATTGCGGTGGTCATCTTTTACTTTGTGTGCTGTTAATACACTATATCTTCAGAGCTAACACACAAAGCTCTTGATTCTTTCCAGATATTTCTTCGTCTGAACTTGAACATATGGGCTTATGTTTACTTGTATAAAAATTTGTTGGATTGGAGATTGGCATTACTTAGTCTAAAGGAAAATCGCATGCATTTCCAGAAATTTGCATGAATAAAGAGACTGAGGGCCAGGGAGTTGTGGACCCATCATTTATATTATGTTTCTTTTTTTTTACTTTCATAAGCTGCATCTTTAGGTAGTTTTCTTTTTGCTTTGTAAAGTTGCTATTGTACTCATTGCTGTGCAGTCCGTAAAATCTGTAGATAATTCACGGCAATGAGTGTTTCTGTCTTTCTGCAATGCTGGGTGTGCATCCTACTTCACGTGAGCGTGCACGACTGAAAACTTATACCGCCTTCTGTCCTAAATTACAGGTCATTTTGATTTGTATCTAGAAATACCAAAACAACCTATAGATTAGAACCGATGAAGTACAATATATAATTATTAATAAATACAATGACGAGCGGTTCTCCTACTTGTTCTTCGGAAAGCAGAAAAGAAAACCACATAGAGAATCGAGCTTACCGCGGAAGCCCGATCTTTCTTTACAAGCAGAAGCAGGTATCCAGATCCAGCAGAGCGTGAGAGGTAAGGAGATTAATTAGTTGGCAGCCATTGACATTTTTAAGGTTGCAACACTCAACACGTGAGATCTAGTGCTAATACACATGCGCGATCTGACCATATAAAATATTTACAGATTTAAAATCCCTTGATTGACGGCGATTGGCGGCAGATCGTGTGCAAGTGAGCGTTTGAAATTGTCTCCCGTACGTCTAGTGTATTTGCCATATGGCCTGAGCTACCTAACGGGACACACGAGTCAAACATATAAGGTGTTCATGGCGGTGCATGTGAGAGTCCATGTTACCTCGGTCAACGCAACAATAGTTGATACTACTATATACTATTTGAAGAAGAATTTTGCCCATTTGTTTACAAGGGTCAGAGGGTATTAAGGTTACAAAATGGCGCAGTAAGCTGGGCTTCATCATTTCATTAATGGCTAGGGTTGAGACAGAGAAACAGATGTACGCCCTGTTCGCTTAACTTATCAACTATGAAACAATGTTTTTCTCTCATAACAAATCAGCTTCAACCGGCTTATCAGCCGCAGAAACCATCAGCCGACTAGCTCCGTATATAGCTAGCCTATCTGCTCGTACATAGAAATGAGCTAGAGCTTCTCCAAGAGTTCTTTTTAAAATTCACTTCCTAAATTATCATTTAGAGTGTCATTAAATAAAAACTATTTTCTATATCTTTCCACCCTCAAATAGTTTCTCTACATCATGTGCGCACTATAGAAAGCCAGTTTCACTCTATCTTTGGCTAGCGAAAAATCTAAAATAGAGGATAATAATATTTTAAGATCTCATTAAAAAATTGTTGGAGGGTGTTTTGTTCAACAAAATCCCTATTCCTATCATAGGGAAGGATATAAAAAAAAAGACTTCTGGAGTTGCTCTTAGCTTGGCTTTCAAATAAGGTTGGAAGGTGGATCTTCAACACTGTCACCAAACATTTTCTGTAATTTCGGTTGCATTGGCATATATAGAAGTAGTGCCGTTACAATTTCAATAAATCTATAATCAGTGAACTACTATGTTATTGATTACCTAGCATTCGCACATTCGAATGATGTGGCATTCTTGTCATGTGGCTAACAACAAAAATTTATTCTTAGTTGAAGAAACCAGAGTTCGATTTCTTAGCCAAATTTTGGTTTTTTTGACAAACTAGATTTCTTAGAGTTTGATTTCTTAGCCAAAATTAGAGTTTTTTTACAAACTAGATTTCTTAGGTAAAATTGGATGTCTAACAAGTTACCGTTTCAATGAACTTGTAATGAATGAACTTTTGTTATTAGTTCAACTATGGAACGTTATAAATGACGTGGCATCCTTGTCGCGGAACTAACGACAGTAATACGTTCTTAGTTCCAAAAATTATAGTTCTGGCAGATTAGAATTCTTTCAAATGATGATACAATCAAAACAACAACACCAAAATTCCTTCTTCATGGAGACCTTCATCATTGCTACCTATCATATTTGGAAGCAGAGAAATAACTTCATATATTTGACAGAGGCCGGCCTTCTTTCTCCTCTTGGTAAAACCTCTTCCGAGGAGAGGCCAAACTTGAAGCTTTTAGATGTGGGATGATAAACATGCGACTTTTCTCCTTTGTTTAGATCTTCTCTCTTAGTCCTTCTTGGCTTTTTTTGCGTACTGCTCCCTCTCTGTTGTGGCTACCTTAGCCCCTCGGCTAGATGGTTCTTTGTATTTACACTTCCTTTTGTACAATCTTTTTGTTTTTAATAAAATCCTACGATAGGGGCTTCTCCTGCTGTATTTCCCGCTGAAAGCATCTAGGCCCCTTTTGTTGGGTTTCGGTGATTAATGACAATACAAGATTACTATGACTAACGTGTGTTTTGCAGAGGCAATTAAGTTAGGTCATGGTAATGGAGATCGATTGGGCAATCGAGGTGGTCATGCCCCTACGATGGAAATTGTTTCAGTTTTCAAAGGATGGACGACAAGGTTAAGGGTGACTAGTTCTAAGTGTCGATTGGAGTTGGAGTGACACTTAGAGTAGTTTAGGACTTTGTTTTTCCTTTGGCCGTACTATTAAGGGGGTATGGACGGGTAGCTTGACCTAGATGAGTCTAGTGAGTTAGGTGCGGTGCACACTTGTTTAAACTAGCTCTAGGTAGCTCCTACATATGCCTAAGATCTAATGGAGCAAACTTCATTCTCACATGATCGAGAGTTGAAGGTGATTGGAGGGTCAAATACTGACCGGACGCTGGCTCCGGTGTGACCGGACGCTGGCCGCAGGGTCCGGTCAGTTCATTTGATCAAGAGATTGCGTTCGGTGCGACCGGACGCTGGAGTGGTCAAGTGACCGGACGCTGAGAGGCAGCGTCCGGTCGACTCTAGTAAGGTTCCAGAGAAGGGAATCTGCAACCGGACGCGTCCGGTCAGTACTGACCGGACCCTGGGGGTTCATCGTCCGGTCGAGTACAGTAAGGTTCCAGTGAGAGTTTAATGCGACCGGACGCGTCCGGTCAGTGGTGACCGGACCCTGACAGCGTCCGGTCAACACATTATCACTGGTTTGCGAGTTGAACTGACCGGAGCGTCTGGTCACCCCGTAGAGGCACATAATAGTTCGTTTTTCAGCCACTGTTATAAATACTTCACCCCTTCGTGTGAGGGGGCACTTTTGCTCATTCCAATAGCTGAGAAACACACTTATGAGTGTCAAGAAGAGCAAGGTCCTAGTGAGGTGTTTGTGATTTAAGAATCCAAGAGTGAAACCTCATTAGTGAATCAAGAGTAGCAAAGTGTGCATCCATCTTCTCATTAGGCTTCGCGTGGTCAAGTGAGAGTTCGTGCTTGTTACTCTTGGTGATCGCCATCACCTAAACGGTTTGGTGGTGATTGGGAGTTCGGTGATCATCCGGAGAGCTTGTGGGTGACCCGACTCAAGATTGTGAGCGGTTGTGGGTGATTCACCGCGACGGAGTATCGAAGAATCAACCCGTAGAGAGCACTTGATCCTTGCGCGGATCAAGGGGGAGCTACACCCTTGCGCGGGTGCTCCAACGAGGACTAGTGTGGAGTGGCGACTTTCCGATACCTCAGCAAAACATCGCCGCGTTTCCTCTCCTCTCTTTACTTTGAGCATTTACTTTAAGCATTACTTTGAGCAATTCAATTCTTGTCATTTATATTCCTAGAATTGCCATGCTAGAGTAGGATTAGAACTTAGATTGCAAGTCTATTTGTGCGATAGAACATTACAAACACTTTCTAGGCACAAGGGATTAATTGGGCTATCAATAGGATTTAATTATTGTAAGAAAATTTAGAATTAGCCCAATTCACCCCCCCCCCCTCTTGGGCATCTTGATCCTTTCAATTGGTATCAGAGCCTTGTGCTCACGTTTTAAGCTTAACCGCTTAAAGCAAGATGTCTCACGGGGATGGTCCTCCTCCTATCTTTGAGGGGGATGATTTTCCTTATTGGGAAATCCGCATGGAGGCGTATTTAGAAGCTCTAGATGTTGGTATACTTAGAGCCACCTCACATGGCTTCCCAAGGCCTAGAAATCCCGCACAACTTCCAGGCGATAAAGTAAACTATGAAAAATGGAATGCAAAGGCTCGCAACACCATCTTTAGAGGCCTTTGCAAAGATGTGTTTAATCGCGTAAGGAACCACAAAGGCGCCCATGCACTATGGTTGGACGTTTGTGCGCTCCATGAGGGAACTAAGAGTGAGCGTGAGGAACGCTATCATCTTGTCATTGAAAAGCTTAACTCTTTTGAGATGCTTCCAAAAGAAAATGCTAATGATATGTATTCACAATTGAATGTTCTTGTAGAGGAAGTCAATGGGCTCGGACTTACTCAAATGTCGCCATCCAATGTTGTGAGAAAGATCTTGAGTGTCCTCCCCATTGACAAATATGGGCATATTGTGACCGTACTACATCAAGGTGATCTTTTCACCGCTACACCGATGCAAATCTTGGGAAAGATAAATGCTCATGAGATGTACATGCACATCACACCTCAAGATGGCTCATCTTCTACAAAGAAGAAAGAAAAAGATTTAGCATTCAAAGCTAGTCAAGATAAGGGCAAATCTAGACTTGAGTATGAGAGCTCAAGTGAA